CCATTTCATTTAAATATATATTTTGAGCATATGCGTTACGGGGGCATTTATTATAGATAGTTAAAAAGTAATCTTTCTTAAAGTAGTTATCATAGTTTGTCTGCAATAAAGCCTTTTTTTATTATTTAAAATTTCTTAAGCAAATCATCGTCAGAGTTTTGGCATAAAATGTAAAGTTTCAATAGAAAATCTGATTCAAAAACAAATTTTACTAATTTATTGAAAAGTATAAAATAATTATTGCATGTTATTTAAAAACATAATTATTCTGAATAAAAAAAAGTCAAATGGATTACAAATATTCAAATATGGCTAGCATAAGTTCATTAAAAAATCACAGCTGCAGTAATAAATAGATATTTCCTAATCTTGTTTTAGTCCATTTATCTTTATTTATAATCATAAAAATATTTTGTTTCACTTTGATTTATATTTCATTAATTTTGTGGAAAATAGCCAAAATAAAACATTCTCAACATCTTTTAGAATCCGATCATTAATAAAATTAAGACATTTACAATCATTAATAAAATCACACCGAAAAAATAAAAATAACTAACTAAAATACCCTTTCCCTTTTCCATGTTGATATGCCTGTTTGATAATACACCAACTCATCCTAGTAATTTGTCAGTACAAAAAGTTTGACAATGGCAGAAATACAAGAAAAATTCAGACGGCAATTCATTTAAACAAAATCCAAAAAGAATTGCATTGACCAATAAGAACAAGAAGACATTTTTCAATGAACAGCTTTAGAAATTGCCATGACATTGGGATTGAGCTGATCATGCATGCTCAGGCCATGTTACTACTGAACTTGACCCTCACTGCATTGCCTCTTGAAGTTCAAGGCCTCATCTGCCAGAAACTCACTATAGCAACGATTTATATTAGCTCAACAAGGAAAAGTGTTGAGCATAATGGAAAAAATCAAGCAAATAATACAAACACTCACCAAATACGCTCAGCCATCTGTAATGGTTCCCATCTCGGACTCCATGGATAATCAGATATTAGCCGTGACTTCATAGGTGCCATTTGAGAATTAAAATGCTGCAAAAAGAATCGAATGAAAATAATCTCACGAGGAAAGAACTTCAACCGCAGTTGATATCATTGACAACAGCTATATAAGGAAATGACTTGTATTGTACGTCATCATTACATCAGAAACATTTTTTCTACTGTCCTGCTTTGAAATGGAAGATAATCCTAACAAAATAATTTTTGAGAAATGAATGATCACTTTCCTTGTCAATTAAAAGAACGTTTTCATGTTATGCTAACCATTTAAAGTACAATGCTTCTTTGAAGAAAAAGAGCACAATAGTTTCTAATTCTATATCTTATCGATACTTCTCAAAATAGTGTAGAGCTGCTCCTTACTATCTCCAACAAAAGATTATTGGAACCCTTTGGATATTCAGGGAGTATACCGAGAATAATCATTGTTCAGAACAAGGATTCCAATGTCAGAATGAATTTAGTTATAAGGAGAGGAAATATTTGAGCAAAGAATAATCAGATAAGATAGAATTTTGCTGAATGATGTAGTGTTTTCATTGGCAAATTCTGACAAACTTAATGACAACTAAGCTTGGGCATGACTGAAACATGTGCTCACAATTAACTAGTTTTCATCTTTTACATAAACTATGAATGGAATAAAAAACATATATTATGTATTATTAAGTGTCACAAATATGCTGTGACAATTATATACGAATTTATAAAAATTAATACAATTAGGTCAACTGACTTATTTACATTAAATACGTAACTAAAAATTCAGTTTTAGACATTTGACATTTCGCAGCAACTGGAATAAATTACACTATGTATAAGCAGCTTATTTATTCGTCACCTACATTTCTAAACGGTAAATAATGCTCAATCTTAATTTTCCAAACAAAAAGATGAAGGAAAATGAAAACAAATGTAACCTGTGAACTTTGAAGCATAATAGTTGGCTGTTGCTTTGGAAATTGAATTGGAATCAGGAAGTGTACCTAAATAAACAAAATCATCAGAATTTTGATCATGTGCAAGATCGATAACTAGGAGAACCTATGAAATGAAGAAAAAAAAATCATACAAGATATCAGCATCAACCTTAGAACATAAAACTACTTAGAAGATCGAATTCAACTATATAATTATATGCCACTGAGGAGAACCTATGAATGAAGAAAAAAAAATCATACAAGATATCAGCATCAACCTTGGAACAGAAAACTACTTAGAAGACTGAATTCAACTATATAATTATATGCCACTACCACTTGTATGGATGACCAGTCCAGAAACACTGATTACAGTTATATCATTTAACATGTATAATCCTCTCATCTTGCTTGTAAATAATAATACGCTTCCTAGTAGTTCATATTGGAAAGGAAACAGAGTTGAGGGAAATCGTAAAAATTCTAACACTCAGAGTTGCACATCTATCCTTCTCTGTTTGTGAATTTTCATGGCTTTACCAAGAATTAGTGACTTCTCCACCTTAAGCATGCTCTTCCACTTTCTTCCATAAATATTGTCAACTTTCCATCTATTTTGAGCACAAAATCATGGATAGTCTATGGGCATTTAGCATTGCAAAGCTTGCATGTAAAACTGTTATGTCAAATCAACACTGAATATTTCCTCTATCCTACCATTTGGCTTATCATACTATGATATCCATCTCTCTCCCTAGTGAATTCATAGCCTTACCAAGAATTAGTGACTTCAACTTAAGCATGCTCGTTTGCTTTCATAGATTTTGATTTTGCAAACTTTCCATCAATTCTGAACATAAAATGAATAGATTGTCTTTGGGCATTTAGCATTGTGAAGCTTGCAAGTAAAAGGGTTGCATCAAATCAACCCATCTCTCTTCCTCTTGTTTTGTCATAACGTTTGTGTAAAATAAATCAAGCAGCATTTTTATCCCTTTAAACAGCACCCGAGCATTCAGGTCAAATATTTTTAAGACTCGTCATCAAACTTGAAATTTTTCTGACAGACATCTTTGCTATGTAAAAGGCAAAGGAATGACTAATAAATATTTCAAAAGTTTATAGAAGGAAATTGAACCCAAAAGATAAATATCGTGGTAGTTGATATGGTGGTATGTTCAATTGGGTGGGGGCTTTTGACTTTGGATTGGCACTCTTTCAACGCAAATTGAAAATTGTGGAATGTGGGTGCATGGTGAATTAACTTCAATGTGCATGACATGAAACTTAAGAATAGCAGTTAGATTATGCTTGACAGAATAGGGAGGGTATTTCTTAATAAACAGCAATTAGAGTTAAGGGACTTATTACAATCAATTTTTTGTGTGGATATTATAGTGCTTTGATGGGTTATCTAAATTAGATTAATTTGATCCATGATCTAAATGGCCTTTCTGAAAATTGGTTTTACGCTGGTCTCATTTGATCCATGTTGCCAAACTCACCATATAAAAAAGGGCTTTTGTTGAATTCAATTTGAAACAGAAGTTGCCATTGATAAGAACCGTAGGAGAATCACATCAAAAAAGTTAGCCATTGTTGGAGAGTCCAAGTCTTTATAAACACTACTGTCAGGATTAGGATAAAGGGAATTAGAGTAGTTACTGATTAGAAGGATATCATTGGCCATGCCCCTAATATCTATAAATATGAGGGTACTAGGTAAAGGGGAGGCAGATTTGTTAATCTGTAAATTGAGCATTTGCTCTTTGAAAAAAGGAGAAATCCTTTGTGAAGGGGAAACCTTGGAGGAGATATTTTTCTCCTATTTTGTGCTCTTTTCAACATATTCAATAAAATCTTTCTTTTCTTTCTCTTTCCTAATTCCTGGTTCCTAACAACTACAAGGTTGTCAAACTCCTTTATGTAAACTTGTGGAAGCTCCATAAACTTGACACACAAACTCGAATCTTAAGCTTGTAAGAATTTACTTAATATTAAAAAATATTAAAATACCTATAAATAACACAATAACTCAACATTTCACTCTATAATAAAGAAAAAATAGCAAACTACAACAACGAAGAAGAAAACTTTAGAAATACATTACTACTTATTAAGATCAAAATCATACTACATATTGTCTAACAAATATTTTCACTGATATTTGTTAAAAAATAATGAATATTAACAAATAATTACTTCATAATTATTAATTAATGTATTTCCAGGTTCAGTATTAATAAAAATATGCTTCAGTAAGCATAGAAGAGGATTTCTAATTTGTTATAGTGTACAATGAAGAAGGTGAAAGGGAAACCTAAATCCTTAACAGATTCCAAAAACAAGAACCCATACACCGAGAGTCAAGAGGTGCCACATGAGAACTCTAATATGAACGAGAATCTTAACATGGAGCATAGCCACAGATGCACACAATGAAATCTCGGAAAAAAAAAATGATGCTTCAGTAAGCATAGAAGAGGATTGCTAATTTGTTATTGTGTACAATGAAGAAGGGGAAAGGGAAATCTAAGTCCTTAACAGAGATTCCAAAATCGAGAATCCATACACTGCGAGTCATGAGGAACCCCATTAGAACTCTAATATGGACAAGAATCCTAACATCGAGCACAGCCACAGACACACACAATGAAATCTCGACATGAGCATATGAAGGCCACCACAACTGCGAGAAAAGGTACAACGGCAAAATCAGGTTGATATCGCACTGCAAAAATTGACCCTAATCCTCTGTTTTGATGGGAAAAAAATACTCAAATGTGAAACGCACCATTCTACTGTCATGTTGGGGCCTTTTTTTCCCACCCACATAGATGCATATAATCGCGTCTAAAATTGTGATTGTGTGCAATCCTACTCGAGCTTGCTTGAGTTTGCTCGATTCTACTTGAAAACGAGTTTGCTTACAGGTTAAACAAGTGAATTTAGCCTTCACTAAACACATAAACTTGTGCGTTTTTACGATTTAACTCTCGAGTTTGATAACCATGAACTACACTAGAATCTCATACTACCAATGTGAAACATACCTCCCATGTGAAACTTAAGTCTAATACCTTGTAATTGGATCCTAACATGGCATCATAGTTGCAGCCCTAGTGCCCATGGATGCTGGTCATGCACAAGCCTTTTTTACTAGTCCTGAGTGAACAGTGAAATGTCAGAATCACCATCTACACCACTCATTTTCAGCCAAGAGACACAATAGCTCTGATAGCAATTAATAAGAACTTTGGGAAAACCACACCACAAAAGCTAACCATTGTAGTTGGAAAACCCAATGCCTTCTAAATCCCATACCTCAGATGGGAGACTATAGTTCAATAGAATCAATACCTTGCAATTCGATCCTAACATTTCTGTTGCAACAATATTTCTTCTACTTCTACAAGTGAGTCCTGTTGAATCGCACCCATCAGGGAAAAGCAAGTTTGTGAATCTCCATTTAGTAAATTGATGAATTTCTGCAAATGAAATGAGAACATCTTGTTGCTAACGATCCTTTACCACTGATCTTCAACCTTCCAACTTGCTCAATGGCAGCATACATAACATCCAAAATCTCCACATGGCCACATCATTTACAGATACAGCCAAACTCTGCCCTAATCTAGAAAGAAGCGATAGGAAATGTACTCGGATAGTTTTTTTATGAAATGGGTTATGAAATTAAGAGGTAATATTATCTTGCTATTTGACAGAGATATACCCATAGCTGGAGGATTTTGTCATTTGAGTGCAAAGACTCAGGGCAAGTGAGTAATTCTCAAACAGGGGCATCACATGTACCTACCCTAAACCTCAAGGAATTTGAGTGTAGTTTACTATATTTTCTCTTTTGACCAGCCATAAGACTTCTGTCAAATCAAAAGAAAGATACCTACAAAAGATTTCTATCCTAACCTAGATACATATTACTTATATCTTTAAATGACAGAAGTTATCACATTAAGATATGTGATAAATTTTATCAGGAAAACATTTTAATTTTTCAAAAGCCAGCTTGTGTCACAAACAAATACACAGGCATCAAGTAATAAGTGTAATATAATACCAGGAATGTGAAAACTCCAGATGCTGAAAGAAAAGTTGCCTTCCTGCAAAAGACCTAGAAACAGAGAAATCAGAAGTTAGCAATTAATATAATCAAAGCAACCCTAACAATTTCAGAATAAGTGTCACGGGAAATACAGGATCAGCTTCAACTGGCCTTCCAAATGGACAGGCTAAGGCTTCAATGAAGTTCCTTCTAACTTCAATCAATGAAACAGCCTCTAAGACCTAAGTTCAAAGTATATTTATATTAATTTTAACAAAAACAAGGATGTTCATAGCACTGAAAGTGCATAGTAAACTAATAGTAAAAAACACACTAAAGATAATGTCAGCTAACCTGTTTCCCAAGATATTCTTCCAGATTTGGAAGATATTCTGCCAAACACCTTTGCAAGACAAATCAATAATAAAAGGAAAAATATTATCAAAAACTATCTCAATATATGCCTCCTAATGGGACAAAGGATTTAATAAAAAATTGAAAAGCTTACATCCCATCCAACCAAGGAGGTAGCTTGACATCATCAGTGGAATATAGGGCTTTCAGCTCAGGAGAAGATACTAACTTCAGAGTAGGAGCTGAAGGTGCTGACATATATTTTCTTCCAACAGGATATACAACCTAGGTTTAACATATCATAAATTGTTTATTGAAAAGCAAGTGAAAAATTCAAAAGAATTTTTAAAGAGAGAAACAAAAGCAACCTGTAAGTATATCTTCTGGGGATGTCTCCATGGACAGCAAGACACCATCTTGTTTATGTTCATGTCCAGAAGGGGCACAGCAAATTTAACCTCCTCTAACTATACTAAAATGTAAAGTCATTCACAACAGAAGTCAAGAATATTGGCCAAAGGCTACATTAATTTTGTCATCTATCCATGAGTAGATCATAGAAATCTTATCACATTTTTTCTGAAGAAATACCTTCTCAGCACCAGAACTCATATGCATTTCTATTCCCTGCAGCAGAACAATTGCGATCAGATAATGTTTTCAATAGTAAAAGGTCAATTTTACCCATTAAAGAAATTATAATCCAAAACTCAGATATGTGCTTTTGAATCAACAGAGCTGGAAGGGCACACACTGCACAAGCTAATAACACCAATAACTATTAACACAGTACACAATCAAATCAAAGACATGACATGTACAACAACAAAGACACCCTATTAGGTAGGTCCAGCTAGGTAATATCAATCAACACCTTTGGGCACCATAAAAAAACACTCAATTTTCATTAAATTCAAGAGACCTATAAAATAAATAAATTTAAAATGACTTATATCTTCCAGCCACAGCATTGACTGAAGGACAAACAAAATTAACATAACTCAAATTGATAATGTTGAGATCCCACATATACTAGAGATATATGGTCAAAGAAGTCCTTATACGGCTTGAGTGATCCTCACCTCTTGAGTTAGCTTTTGGGGACTTGGATTTTGTACGGCTTGGCTTAATTTCTAAGATCATATTGAAGCCTATCGTAGATTTATTAACGGGTGTTAGATTACCCCATTAGCAGTTAGTTACGATAGGTTAGGTACCCATTAGATAGTTATTTAGTAGAATACTTCAAGAGTTAGTTAATCAGATAGAAGCAAGGCTAATTAGAGAAAAAAGCACGTTGCCTATAAATAAGAGGGGAGAGAAGAGACAGATCATCTAGTCATTTGTGAGAGAATTGGGGCCTTTGCAAGTTAGGAACTTTATTGAGGGAGAAATCCCTTAATCTTTCTAATAGGATACCAGGTTTCTGTCAACTAGTACCAGAGCTCCAATTATGAAATAGGAACTTTGACTCAAACACTTGACACAATACAGATACTTTGACACAATTAATATCTAAAATATAGGACACCGGGACAAGACATAAACACATAGAAAGAGAGAGACTCTAATGAAAGGAAATATGGGTAACATAACAAAATATATAAATTGATAAAATATTCACCTTTTTAAACTAACCTTCTATGTTTGTTTCTAGAATAACAAGCCTCACCAAAAGGTTAGAGATATCAATTTTTTATTAATATTTTATATTACATTTAAGCCTGATTTATCTTAAATTAAAAAAATGAATAACTTTTCAATATATTAGTGTGTCCATCCATATGAAGGTGTCAGTTCAAGTGTTGTGTAAAGGTGTTGGCTTAAGTGTCCAAGTCAACTAATTTTTTTTTTTAATTAGACACCTAATCTGAAATGTTGGACATGTGTCGAACAAGTATTGGGGAGTGTCGGTATCAGAAACGTGTCCAACACAACGACACTTCAAACAAGAGAGGTGTTTGTACTCTGTAGTGCCACCACATAGTCAATCTCAATAATACTTGGAACAAACATAGATGAAAAATAAAAAATCACATTAATTGACATGATATATGAAGTGATATAAAATATACAAAATCTCCCAACATAAACCTCTTTCCGTACAAACTGTATTTAGCTGACATCATTCCTCACACACGTCTATTTCCAAGTCTCAAAGATTTAGAAGTTTGAACAAGTGAGAAAGTAAGCAGAAATTAAAGACATTGAAAGAAAACTGACAGTCTGAAAAGAACCAAACACAAAATCGATTAACCAGTGTTGAATTTTGAATTCAATGGAAAAAGTGTCTTGGAAAAGCTGAGAGCATTTATTTACAGTGTCCAAACAGCATCTGTTAAGAGTTATCCTAATCTATTATGACAAAGCTCAACAGAATTCTAAAACTAAATTAACAAACTGCAAGGCAACAAACTGTAACAGACTTGGCATGTTTGGGGAAGATTATAATCTCCCATTTTAGCTGTTTTTTTGGAGAAAAAAAACTATTTGCAAAAAAATTGTATGCTTGGAATAACAACTTAAATTTGTAAACATTTTTCTTTCTGAAAAATACTTTTTTTTTATGACGCTGATAATTTGAAACTTATGATTTCTCAACAGGTTTTTCTTTTCTTCCTCTTAAGCTGATTTACTGCATAAAAACTATTTTGTGTTGTATTCAAACAAAATTAAACATTGTAAAATAGCTTTTCAGAAAACTTACCCACATAAAATTTCATTTTGATTATAATCGATTATTGAAACAATCTAATTTTCACAGTTTTCCTAAACACACTCTAAGCAGATACAAGTTGAAGTCAATTCACACTTGTGCAACATACAACCCAAATATATGTAAGGAGAGTGCAAAATAATGATGAGGTGGAGACCGTTATAGGTAAGCCGATACAAATGGGACACGTGGATGAAGGTGGAGAAATCATGGCAAAGAATAAAAGTGCGTGATCCAGGAGGGAACGTGGGTGGCTGAAGGATTACGTGAGGAAATAACTTGAATATAAATAGAATAATTTTGGGTGTGAAGAGGGGGAGAAAAAGATTAGTTGAGATTCTCTTTCTTGCTGACTCACTTTTCTGTTCATGAGTGCTATACAGACACTAAAGGTTGTATTCATGCTTGATGAAATGGAATAAGAATTCTTTCTGTAATCAGTTGAATGTGTACTAGCAATTTTTTGTAATTGTTGATTTCATTCATCTTGCAAGCACGTTGTGCTATCTTACAATATATCACAGAATCAGCATGCAACAACCTACTCCAACACCCTGCACACTTGGTTTAAAAAAGGTCCCCACTGTGCAGTGCACATGGTTTACACTTTACACAACAATGTCAAGGTTTTTCTCTTTCTTGACTCAAGCAACTGTAATTGCAACCACAGTTTGCGACATTGTCAAAAATAGCAGCACAACCGCAATTCAAAACTCAAATTTCTAAATAACAGCAAAAAAATTAGAGTGTGTTTGGATGGAAAATTTAAATAGAATAATTCATTTGGTTGAAGAATTTCAAATTGGTTGAGGAGAAATGCCTTGTTTAAATGGAGAATTTACAAAGAATTTGAAATTCAAACATCTGCGAATTCTACAACTTAAGGAATTTCACAAATGCTAAACTCAAAAAATTTGAAATTATTCGAACAAATAAATTATTCCATTTAAATTCTTAGTCCAAACACACTCTTAGCGAAATTAAAATTACCTCCCTGGAAATGATAGTGCTGATTTCGAATTTCAAGCGGTCATCGTCGACTTCTCCAACACGCTTCCTCTGGTACAGCACATACTGATCCCTGCGAAGACACAACGAACGTAATTTCGCAAGTGACAGCAAAAAGAAGCAAATTCGCGCCCCAACGCAGAGAGGAAAAAGACGAACCTGAGGAATTGAATGAGGGTCAAGAGGCGCGTGGGGTCTTTATAGCTCCAATCGGAGAGACAGTTATTGGGCTGCGCAGAGGGGTACATGTGAAAGGGGTGGAAATCGTCGTCTTCTGGGCCGAAGATAACGTCGGGGGCAGCGTTGGGCGAATCGGCGTTGTATATAACGTCCCCTGAAAGAAACCCTTGTGAGTGTTTGGTTGGTTGGAGTGAGAGAGGGAAAGGGGAAGAAGAAGAATAAAAATGATGATAATAATACACTTGATGATGTCGAGGCAATAGGGGATGAGGAGGGTGAAGCGATCGAGAGGGGCGGAGTTGTATTTGTCAGCGGACCACATTTGTTCGACCTGGAAACAGTGTTTGGATGAGAGTGGAAAGAGAGAGAAAGAGAGAAAAAGAGAGAGAGGGAATGGTTGCCTTGAGAGTGAGACGGAAGTGGGAGAGGAGGTGACTGAGCTGAGAAGCGATGAAAGGAGGGACGTTTTCGGGACCTGCAGCCATGCTGATTTCGCACTTCTCCCTCTTCTCTGTTCGCCTTAGTGTCCAAGCACCACACCTCCACTTCAACTGCCACTAAAACTCTTCCATTAACCATCTCTTTCTTTCTTATTACTACCAATAAACACGCCACTTTATTAAAATAAATAAATAAATATTCTTTTTAAATAAGTAATTAGCTACTATTTTCTTAAAAAATAGTTATTATTTGATTAAAATATTTTTTACTCTTTATAATTTTAATTTTTTTCTTAATTATATCACTCTATTTCTTCTTTTTAGTCGTCTTTAATAATTTATTGATGAATCTTCCATTTTCAATTGTATCTTTCAAGTAGTATTTTTGCTTATCTTTTTTACTAGCGATTTTAATTATAACTTTTAGATTTTTTTATTAGTCTGAGTAAAATACGACTTATTTGATTTGTAAATTGGAAATTAATTAAAAATTTTAGGATAAGATATGCTATAGTTCCTTATTATGTCAATTTACAATTCTCGGTCATTGAGATTCATGATCAATATAAATTAATATTTAAGGATATTTAAAATAAATTGTTAATTTTTATATATATTTTTTAATTTTTATAATTTAAAATAAATTTTGTGGTCTCTATATTTATAATTTTATAATTATTTTAGTTATTATTGTTGATTTTATTTTGTAATATTATTTATTTTGTGTTAATATTATAGAAGTCTTTAATTTTTTATTTTCATAAAATTAAAAACTTTATCACATTATAAAAAACAAGAACATTAATATATATTACTTGTTGAGCTTAGGAAAGATGAAGACTTAAAGAGTTTTGATGATCACAACAAGTGTACAACAACAACTTGGAACACAAAAACAAAGTCAAAGAAGAGTCAAAGAAATGCTTTGAAGTGGAGCTATGTAATAGAACTTAGGAAATAAATTGTTGTGAATGAATTTTTTGTATTGTGTGTGCTAAGTATGCTTTGTGCATAAGCAAAACTTATCTGAATCAAGTAGGGAGTAGATGATGATGAGTTAAAAATATTGGAGAGTTATTTTGAGGCTTAAAATGAAGTTTTAAGAATTAACTCAAAATAATCGATTATTGTTAAATATAATCGATTATTTCAGCTAATAGGCTAAGTGGAATGCCTTGCTGTAATAATCGATTATTTGCCAAAATAATCGATTATCCCAGGAACAACTCTCTGGAATAATCGATTATCCAGCTAAATAATCGATTATATTGTTCTTGGTTGATTTCCAGAAAATCTGAAGAACAAAATAATCGATTATTCTTTAAAATAATCGATTATCTGTGTCTGAAACTTTTATAAATAGTTTGAACTTTGAGAAACTTCAGACATGAGTTAGAACTGATAATCAATTTGTGAAAAACGTTTTTGTGAGTCTTTGTGACATCTTGGAGAGTTTTCTTTGTGAAATCCAAGAGTGAAAACGTTTGTGAAAAGCTTTGGTAGAAGATCATCATCATCATATTCTTGAAAGGGGAAGATAAAGATTTGTTCAAGAATTCCAGGTGAATTCGTTCCTTTTATTCTTTGTGAATCTTTGTGGAAAATCTTGAGAAGGGTTTCTCAAGTGGTAAGGTTTCTTGTAGTGGGTTCTACAAGGGGTGCTTTCTTGGGGTCAAGAAAGTGATTATCTTTTTGTGTTGAAGTATATGCATGTGTGTGTGCTTGTAAACCTTCTTGCTTAAAGATAGTGGAACAAATCTTAATCAGGTGTTGATTAAGGACTGGATGTAGGTCACATGTGGAGTGGCTGAACCAGTATAAAAGACTTGTGCAATCTTCTTCAACCTTATCTTTTACTTTGTGTAATTTCTTGGGTGAACTTTAAAGAAGATAAAACTTGATTAACAAGTGTATGTGAATTTTGATGGTTTAAATCTATAATTGAACATTATTGTTGAACCTCATTATGTTGTAATCAAGTGAGCATATTGGATTCATATTTTTCATAACAAGTCTTTGGAAGAGCTTCATTTGGAAATTCTGTCATAGAAAAGTTTTGATTGAAATTAAGATCCAAAATACTCTGATAAATTTTTAAAGGGTCATTGAATCCAATTCACCCCCCCCCTCTTGGATTGTGTCATTATTTTCTATCATTACTTATATCATGTTACATCTGCAAATGAATTTGATTGGATCCACTTGTATTTACAAAACAAAATTTGTGTCCCATTTTTCCCTTCATAAGGACGACACAGTTTATATATATATATAAACTGTGTCGTCCTTATGAGGGGAAGGGGGCAGATTCACTCCTTTATATATTCGGTTGCATTTAAATCAATTTAGTTAAAATGAGAAGACGTGTAAAGTATGAATGATTTCTTCCATTGTAAAAAAGACACTAAAAAGGAAGTTGAATAGTATTATAAACTTTTTTCACTTTTTCAACAATAAATGAGACAATATGTCCATACGGAATGGAAAAACTAGCAAGGAGAAATACATGGTATGAAGAATATGAAGATCAATAGAAGAATTTTTATATTGTATTGTCTCGCCACTAAGATTACCTTCAGATTTTGATCTAACCAAATCAAGTTTCATTAAAATCACCGTGCTTACAAATAATAAGTATTATTTTCAACAAGTCACTCCCAGCTCACCTAAGAAAAATCAAAGTATTGTTTACAATCAAAGCCTTTTCGAGCTTTCTAGAAAGAAAATAAAAGATACAAGATTGTCTTTTCTTGAAAAATAGATTTTATAGAGTGTTCGCAAAGGAAACACTAAGTTGGAAGAAGAGATGAGTAATTGGTCACTTACCTTTATCTTGAGTTATCTTTAATTTATATACTTTTGATGATGAAGATGACTATTAGAGCTTCAAAGTCTCTATTTTACACTTTATCTTCAATCTTCTACAAAAAAACTTCATCTAGAGAGTTGTGATTGAATTTTTCCATTTTTTTGCATTTGATTGCAAAATTAAATACACCTTCTTATTACGTCTATTTGATAAGAGTATACTCTTATAGCCTAATTTAGTTTAGAAAAAAGTTTTTCTTAAAAGGCTTGGTGGCTTGAAGACAACTTTTGCCGAGAAGTTAAATTAGATGCAACTTTTGTGTACCACCTGAATTTTCATAAATTATATTAAGGTATTTTAGAAACTATTTTGATACTTAAATGTATTTTATGAATATTGTAGACACCTAATTTCATCTAGGGCATACAAACAAAGAAATGGACTTCTATTATCAAATAAAGGAGCTCCCAAAGCTTGGGAAAACAACATGATATGACATTAGGCTCAAAGCCCAATAAAGGTGATTTAGTAGCCTAGAATGAGTCGTTCTCAAACTGGAACGGGCCGTTCCAAACTACTAAAAAGGCCTATAAACGCTAGATTGGAACGGGTCGTTCCAACACAGGCTGTCATAAGTAAAATTCGAATCCAGAACAGGTCGTTTCACTTTTTGAATAGGACGTTCCATATTCACATTTTACCCATAACGGAATTGCCCAAAATGGGCCGTTCCAAATCCGGAACGGACCATTCTGGTCAGTTTTGACGTCTATAAATAGATGCATTAGATACTGCTCTCGGGGGCTAGAAAATTCATCAAGAACTCCTTATAGCTTGAAATTTCTCTCTCTCTCTTTGTTTGTATTTCTTGAGATCTGTGAGATATTTGTGTAGCGTGAAAGGTTGTCACAAAGCACCTAAAATCTCCATAGTTGAAAATCTAATAAAGCTTGCTACGAGTTTTTCAGGAGTTATGAAGTTACTCGAGGCTACCAAAAGCATTTCACGCTTTTGACTTCATTTTCCTTTCTACGCTCTCTAAAGACCAAAGAGAACCAAGAGAAGGAGATTAACCAGATTCTGCTCTAGCTTCATCTTCTGCTTATCCAAGTAAGGGAGAGTGAGAAACCTCACTCGGGGGGTGTGGGAATAATTGTTGGATAATAGGATTGGCCCCCAATCCCTTGCCTGATGCATGCTTCTAGGAATAGGCAAAATATGAAAGTTTTATGTTTTGCTTTTTGAATGTGTTGTTGCATTCCTTGCATGATGTTGAGTGTAAATATGTATTTGATTTCAAAATTAGATAAGTTTTTATATGAATTAGAGTGCTCTGTGAATTCCTGTGCGAAACCCTATGAGGAACAATTATGAGTATGACTATGTGAAATGTGAACAAATGACATGAGACATGATGAGAATGACGTGCTATTGTGAACACTATGACTATGAAATGTGAAACGTGATGAAATGAGATAAGACATGAAATTCCATGACAAGTAAAGTGATGAGCCCATGAGTTTGTGAATGTGTGACATGCATCATATGCATTTATGTGACGGGGTACGATATGAAGTACATCGTTAGGGAAGGCCCTCCAAGTGTGAAATATCTTGGAGGAGTCCTAGGGGATAGTGCAGTTTGGAAGGCCTAGTTCTGCCCGTTTGTGTGCATGGGACGTATCTTGCGGCTTCGCTATCCCGATGAGACCCTAGCAGTACACCTTTCTAGTTGAAAGTGCACGGTTGAGCCGACATGTACTCCTAAACTACTCTAGGTATGTTGCTTCAGCAACATACCACGTGATATGTGATTACGAGACATGTGAATGGCGCCACATGCATGCATTTATGAGTCGAGTCCATGACATCTTTACATGATGAATGACTGTGCATGTGTTACGGTTGTATGTATAATCTAAAGAAGGAACTACAGCAGACGAAGACACCCACAAACGCAGACACAAAGGAAATAAAGGACAAGAGCACGAGCAACCAAGATGAAGGGAAAAAGCTAACAAGACGTCAAATGAGGAGATCAAATGATCAAATGAAATCAAGTCCTAGAAGGAAAATAATGAAGCCTCAGATGATACAAGACCATGAACGATGATAACTGACCAGACGGAGACTCAAATACACAGACAAAAACCAAGAAGGCTGGAATGCGTTTGAAGTCACAATGAGAAGAACTACCTAACTTCCACACTCTCAGAAGAACACATGAACACATCAAAACAAAAAAAAACTAAGAAAAATGGAGGAGCGCTTATCCACAAATCAGAACTGAGTGTGTCAGAGCAAGTACACCTACTAGTCAGCA